TTCCATTTGTTACAATGGATATTCTTGGTGTGACATACTGTCTGTTTTATTTTGCTTCTAAATTACCCCCTGTGTGCAAGGAATGGGCGGGGTTACCATCCACTGGCGGTGAGGGATTCGAACGCAGGTCAGCAAGATTGCTAGACGAGATCGCTACCGCTGCACCACACAGCACACAGAGTGTGAGGGTGAGGCTGTGGATCTGATGTGACTCAACCTGGGAGGTATGCGGAGCTTCAGGTTGCGGGGTCATGCTGCTACAGGACTAACCTGGTCCCATGTGCATGAAGAGCAGCATTTTGCCACATACCATGACATGGAATGCACTCTAAGTGCTTGTACTGAATCACTGCTCTGTCACTCAGAGGCCTTTAAAAAACCAACGTCATTTTGCTGCCTTTCTTGTTCTTGACCAAATATACTTTAGATCCTCTATATATATATATATATAAATATAGTTTGATTCCATTTGTTACAATGGATATTCTTGGTGTGACATACTGTCTGTTTTATTTTGCTTCTAAATTACCCCCTGTGTGCAAGGAATGGGCGGGGTTACCATCCACTGGCGGTGAGGGATTCGAACGCAGGTCAGCAAGATTGCTAGACGAGATCGCTACCGCTGCACCACACAGCACACAGAGTGTGAGGGTGAGGCTGTGGATCTGATGTGACTCAACCTGGGAGGTATGCGGAGCTTCAGGTTGCGGGGTCATGCTGCTACAGGACTAACCTGGTCCCATGTGCATGAAGAGCAGCATTTTGCCACATACCATGACATGGAATGCACTCTAAGTGCTTGTACTGAATCACTGCTCTGTCACTCAGAGGCCTTTAAAAAACCAACGTCATTTTGCTGCCTTTCTTGTTCTTGACCAAATATACTTTAGATCCTCTTACTTTGGTCTCCATTCAATGTATAAATTTACACATATAACAACTGGTAACAATTACCCTGAAGATATAAAAAATTCCAAGTGCATGGGATGCAGAGGTTAAAACCAGACTGCAATTTATTACATGTTAATTTTTTTAGCAGATCTTTTTTTTTCAGACATGATTTTGATTTTGTATTCAAGAAGGTATATACAAATATTTTATTGATTGTTAATCAATATACAGAAAATACATATAGATACAAGAAAGAAGTGTAAAGAATAAAAAAATAAAATACAAAAATTATATATATATATATATATATATATATATATATATATATATATATATATATATATATATATATATATATATATATATATATAAAATATTTGTATTTTATATATTCATACACACGCACACCTATCCACCTAGGTGGATAGGTGGCTAGTGGCTTAGTGGCTAGTGCTAAGCCACAAAGGAGGCAATTAGTAGACCTTGTGACCTTACCTGATTTGAATTGGCGGGAAAAACATATTTTTTACTAGTGTTATGAATATCAATGGTGTTATCTTTATTAAAAACATTATACTTACTGTAATGTTATAAACATTAGTAAAAGCAAAATAAGATAACGTAAAATATTTTCGTAAATCAAAGAAAAGGGTAAACGGGCGAGACAGGCAGTACTCGTAATTGGCTCACTGGTGACTTAGTACAATGTAGCCATCTATGTGTAAAAACAATCAAATTCACAGAGGGAAAATGAAAAAGAGAGAGAGAGAGAGAGAGAGAGAGAGAGAGAGAGAGAGAGAGAGAGAGAGAGAGAGAGAGAGAGAGAGAGAGAGAGAGAGAGAGAGAGAGAGAGAGAAAAGGGCAAAAAAGTAAAAGAGAAAAAGTAAAATCCAGCTCAGACAGAGAGTAATCTATAATTGCTGATGCAGCTGAATGAAGGGTTATAAGTAATAAATAGCAAAACCCACATGGAACTATAAAGGCAAAATCAGAAAGGGGGGAAAATGAGACATTAAGGAAATGTAGACATCAAAGGTGAAAGTGATCTTGAAAAAAGAGAAGCAAATGACATGAAAAGAATAAACAAGTAGAGTAAACAGTTTACAGACTGAACCCATGAAAATTACAAGTGCCCTACCAGAGAAGGGAAATTCTGAGAGAAGCCTTGAAATCAAGGCTAATCAGGATGAAACTAGAAGATTAAAAACATACTTACAAAATCATTAAGCTAAAAGAAACTGAAAACCTTCATCCTACAAATAATCCACTATTTATATCCAAACGTAACAAAAATAACAGACTTAGACAAAACTGTAAATATCACAATTATTCTAAGTTCACTCTTGCAGATACAAATTTTCAATAAAGAGAACAATAATAAAGAAATCAACACTAATTCCAGAAACTATAGTGACTTGATCAATTTCTGAGAAGTCGAGACAGACCACTCTCCATTGCAGGCATGGCAAGTCGCCCAGCTCCTCCTGTGGCGCCTCATCCACACCTGTCCTTTGTACTCCAACTACCATGCTCCCACAGTACTAAAGTATAGATTCTATGACAACTATACCCTCAACACCTAAGAATTACACCAGTACATTTCAAGTGGGGACACATCCTCCCCACTATATTAGAGAAATGATATGAAAGGATAGAAATGTTAGATCTACAGGAGTAGCTCTTTTTATCAGAAACTGACAAAACAATCAAATAAAACAGGAACTGGAAAAATACTAGAAAATATTATTATATTATACATTTAAAATTATTACATTTATATATACTTGAAGGTTAACATTTTGTTCTTATATACAGACTGACTGGCTTACCAGTGGCTTTTTCACTAAGGCTTTTATAAGTACTGTTTCTAATTATGTGAAGACCAATGAGGATCTGACACAAAAAGAATTATAATATCAAGTGACTAATCTTCACTTCTTTGATAGGGTGTCAAACAAAATCAAGAATGAATGCCTCCAAAGATACAAAACAAAAAGTGAAAATACTTATAGATTTCAAAGAGGATTTCTACCTTAAGCAGCAAGGGAGAACAATGTACTCAACCCTGTTTTCATATGTATTGGGAAGGCATAACAATGTACAAGTAAACACCCATACAGCAGAGTTGCCATTTATAGTATAAAGACCCTCACTAGAGATAGATCTGATATTTGGCCATATCTAGATTTTAAAGCAGCACATTTTTCTTCATTTAAATTTATAGCTAAGCTTGGGGCTTCATATTTCCTCTACTATAGTTTGTTCACTTAAGTCTGATAGCTGGGTAAACACAGAGCTTGGCTGTAATTGGTGGATGCAAGCCAATCAGAGTTGCCTAACTGGGAGTTAATCTGATTATTAGACAGAAATGACTGACCAGGTTGACTTAGTAATGAAAATTTCAGCTGAAGGCCAGGGTGACAGGAACAAAGCTCTCGGTGATTATACTCTATGGGCATTTAGGAAGGGGCTTTTGCATCATTTCTATTGATAAAGGAATGTGGAACGTAACATAGTGAGCCATGACTGGAAGAGTGCCAGCTCCATTGAAGATGTTATTTCCTTGCTCAAGATCCTATTCCTGAACACTGCAACAAGTGGCAAAGTATATATTACAGAAAATGGAGTGTTATGAAAAAATTAAAATATGACACAAATAACAAAGTGTTACTTATTGCTATTATTATTGCACCAAGTTCTGGATTACCTAGAGAGATGATACAGAGTCTGTAAGTCTATTACCATATGGATAAAGCAAATCAAATGACAAATATAGACATTAGAAAAAACTGAAAATGGTTATGCAGAAAATGAGAAAACAGTAATGCAAAGGGGAGGCATGGAGTTACCACACATGAGTGTTCGTGTGCACCCAACCGACAAGCCACACACCCATCAGAATGGCCACTCAATTAAGCCTACTGCCCTTATTTTTGGCCATGTGATGGGAGTGAAGCATCTGGTTCCAATCAATATTTTCACACAACTGCACTCAATCTCATAACTCATGGATTAATGTGAATATATAAATGCTAATGTTATAGATGAAAGTTTAAATTAAAACATTTAATACATTTTCATGGGCAACAGATTTGAGAACACTTTTGGATGTACATGCCTTCATTTCTGCTGTAATTACTACTACTACCATTATTATCATCACTACAAGTAATAGTAGTTTTTGTTTTAGACATTCATTTGATATTGTGAATTCAAAAATAGAGTGACCAATAGAAACCAAATAGATCTGAAAATAATAAACCTATGAACCGAATAGGCATGTCAAGAAAGGACAAAAAAGTTTTGCTACATGTAATGGACTCCCACGTCTTATATCTGGACATTGCCAAAAATCACCTGAATTTATAACGCTCAGAGATTTATGATATCCGTTGGCGTTGGGTTAACAAATATTTACCAAAAGAGTTGAGATCATAGTGACCTTGTTGATTACGAACACCTGCACTTCCATGATTACTTTGAACATTGCTCTTCATTTTATAAACCTTTATGAAAGAGAACAAGATTATAATAACCCTGATTGCTTTAATAAAAGAACACTAAGTTTTGGAGCAAAAAGGACTGAAACAAAAGAATAAATTAAAGTACTCTATGGATTGAAGCATTTACCATTTAAGGGAAAATTTGGTTTTTGAGTGGAACACTATCTTCTACAGTATATGCTAAACTTCAATTAATCCAATTAAATAATTTCAATTGTGGTATGCCAATTTCCCTAGCTATTCTTTTCTAATTCTAAATGAAAGGCACATTTTGGAAGAGTAAAATTGAACACCATATTTATTTTGGTAAAAAGGGATAAACCAGACAATTTCTTCCACACTAATCCCTAAAAAATAATGTGCCCAAGATCCAGCCCTTTTAACCCAACACAGCTGGGTGAAGAAAATAAATAAAAATTCTGCATTCTGGAGATTAATGGCAATAAGCCAACTCTGAGAGCAGGAGTTCACTAGAATAAGCTGAACAGCCGTACTCCGCAGCCAAGCAGTTTGTTATGATGCCGCTAGGCGTGGCCAGGCAGTATCGGGTTAAAAGGCCCTTCAAGAGAAATATCAATACAAAATAATAAAAATAAATAAATACACAAAAACAACAACAACAAGCATCATCTTGTAATTACCTTCCAGCAGCTCCATGGAGATCCCTTCGACATACATGTCCCACCAGCGCTGGTGTTTGGGGGTGCGGCCCACCCAGTCTGTCACATCAAACTTGCTCAGCTTCCCCGCCAAGTACATGAGAGCAATTGCTATAATTTCTGGTTCCCACTGAAGGCATAGGGTGGTACACAGGCTGAAATAATAATAGTTAATGTTAATGATAATAATGATCATAAGTGATGATGTTAACAATAATGATAACAATGGCCAAAATAACAATGATTTCCCAAAGGCAAATTATATATATATATAAAAAGAAAAAAAAAATCCACAATAATGACGATGACAATGACAATGATGATGACGATAATGATAACAATAGTGATAACAACAACCAAAATCACAGTGAATTTTCAAAGGCAAATTGTTATTATTATTATTTTAATCCCCCAAATGTATTACTTTTCCTAGAATTCTACCATAGGAAAACAGATTCAACGGCCTCATGCTACAAATTCCAAAACATACACTGTTACAGGATTTCTTTACACTTGCTGTTGGTTACCCTGAAATGAATAACTATGGGAGAACATTGAGAAAGTTCATAATACATTAATTGAAGTTTTGCTCCTGGTTCCGTACAAACTGAGAGGCATAAATGCTGGACTCAAGAGTTCACAAACTCTGACAAATATAGTGGACAAGTCTGAAACCTCCTGAAAAAAAGCAGACCAGATCATTGACAACAAACAGTTTTCAATAATAAAAAAAATACCACTGCCAAAAAAATTTAGGCAAATAATCATGCATAAACCAAACCGCAAATTCAAGAGGGCAGCATGGCAAGATAACCAACAGCTGAAGAACTGCCCAAAAGTATACTAAGAGCTGACATCACCTGTTGGACAGGAAAGGTTGTGTTTACAGATGAAATCTATCCAGACATGTAAACCTCAACCCCTTCCTGACGGCTCACGCCTATAGGCATGAAAACAAACCGCTCGAAATGTAGTGTGCAGCTGTACACCGCGGCAGCATGCCAAAACGCAGTGAGCCGGTGATTCGGCTTGATGTACCGAACTCTGTGTTCATAGTCGGTGTGTTGCCATTGATCGCCAAAGCGTATTTTTTTTTTTAGTTTTCTTAACCCGTCACCATTGGATTAAACAGCAAGGCATAAAATGGCAAGTCAATGCCCATAAAAGACATCACCAACAAAAGCAAATTTTACTTAACTGAGACAAACAAAAAATTATATTTATAATTAAAACTAGTAAACCAGCAAAATGCATTATCATCTCCCACTCTCCTGCTTTTTTGAACTTCTTACTGGAATTATCATGAAAATCTCAACCATACTTCCCCTATGAGGAAGCCAGCTTTAAACCAATATGGGATACCTCAGAACAAATTCTTGTATCAAAACCTTACACAAGAAAGCAGGAATCAGGGGCAATCTTCACAGACCTGTCAGCAGCCTATGACAGCCTGATTAGACAAAAATATGTTAAAGTTCCCGAGAACAAAAAAATCCATGCTAGGATCCACAAAAGGAGTATTTCAAAGTGTTTTGAGGTGATAATGTCAGCAATACTAGATCACAAAATGTGTCCTCCAAAGGATCAGTACTGACCCTAACACTTTCAGCATTTACTTCAGTGACATTACTTAACCTGTTACTGACGGGTCACATGCACAATTGTCATACATATCGCTTGGTCTCCAGAGTATGGATGAACGCACAGCAACGCGCTAGAGCATGTGGAGTGGGAAGTTCCGTTACTTGTAACAGACTCCCGCACCCAGTGCAGTGGACGTTACCAGAAATCACCAGAGTTTATGACACTCAGAGATTTCTGATACCCGTTGGCATAGGGTTAAACAACCTCTCTGAAGGTTGGCTATTAGATGTCAAGTAAATAGTACCTTAGTCAAAGTAAGTTTGCAGTCTGAAGGAGATACTCCACAACTACTTTTAAGATACAATCTTGTACTAGCTAACTCTAAACACTGAAGAAGTAAGCAACTAACTTAACCCAACAGAACCCAACCCAAAGCATCTCAGAATGATAATGAAGTCCACTCTAACTTATAGGAAATATATTGAAAATACAGCACAAAAATGCAAAATTACATCATAAGCAACTAGGGAGCTTAGAACCTTGGCCTCAACCTTTGTTATGCTGTAGCAGAGTATTGTGCTCCAGTATGGTGCTTCAATGTCCACACACACACACAAAAAAAATGATGTCCAATCAATCAGGACCATGATAGCAGCAGCCACAAATTCAATTACCATAATCACTTCCCCTTAACTCTGAAAAGACAAAACACCACTAGTGAAGTATGCATGAGGGAGACCAACACAAATAAGGACAGGCTCCAGTCACCTCTCAACAAGAATCACAGAAAACCTTTTATAAATCTTTTTGGGAAGACTTCAACCCAGAGGCACCTTGGCAAAATGATTGGCAAAAGACTTTCAAAACCTGACTTTGAACCCAAAAACACCATTACACATTTCATAGCAGAACAAGAGTCCCCCCTCTGTACTGCATGACAAGAAGCACTACCAGGCAAGTGACCATCTAGTTTCAAAACTATGAAACTATCAATGAAGCCAGAAAGACCTTCAAAACATGGGAAAATGATCTTGCTAGAGATTTAGTCACCTGGTACTGCTAGACCACTCAAGAGAGAACTACTTTGGATTGAAAGGGGCTGCAATTAAGATGTTGAAACTATAAGTTAAAGATGTAATATATTTACAGAAGTTACACAAAGGTTTTTAAAATTTGTAAAATAAGAATGCATACATACATAAAACAGACAGTTTGAACTCCAATGCATTAATATTTGAATGATTATTATTACTATTATCATTATCTAAAAGTACTATGCCTCAATCAGTACCTTACTACACTGAATAACCTATTCATTTATATTCTTTCATTGCATGTAGATATAGGAGAAAATTTAAGAAAAAAAGCAATCAAATAGACAAAAGAAAAAAATATAGTCATACCTGTCATTCACAAACGTCCATGCCATTTGTACCATGTTTGGTAGTCTCTTTTTGTCACCTGCAAGAAAATGCTTCATTACAATCCTCAACTCTATAAACCCAATGATAACAGGCCTATGTTTTTTCCCCTATAGTTTTTTGTGAATTTAGTTACATATAGATGGCTCCACATATGCTCACCCACCAAGGAATCTAATCAGTAGACCCTAGTAACTGCACCTGAATTCCCCATTACCTTGCCCTTGCAGGAAAATGAAGCTTTCCAAAAAACAAGGAATAGGGTAAACAGGTGAGATAGGTAGGACTAATAATTGACTCCTTGCTGGCTAAACACTTGTAGATTGTCTTGATCTACATGTGAAGACAATTGATGAACTTTTATTACAGTGGGCAAGGCATCTATTCTTGCCATCTGAGTTGATTGGGTTAAAGGAAAATACATCTTGAAATGTCCACACCAAAAAGATATAAAAAAGAGAAAGACTATTATTTAGTTAATTTTCAAAGACAATTCTCATACCATGGTGTTTGATAAACCTAAACAACCAGTTCCAATAAATCTTATCAACTGTTATATGACTTACTAATCATCAATTAACATTTTTACCATGTCTCCTCTATACTGTTTTTTTTAATCAAGGCAAAGACGCATTAGAGAAGTTTGTGCTGATAGATGATAGGGTGATGGATTAATGGTAAATATTACTTGATGACTGACTAGCTGGTGATGACAATTCCTTGAAATATAACAATATTATCTGAACAATTATCACCAGCATCTCAAGTGCACTTTTGTCTTGGGGAAAGAAAATGAAAGATAAGAAAAGAAAAGAAAGAAAAAAAATGGAATAGAGTGTTTTTTCCTTGCCTTCATACCCTCCTTAGCATCTTAAACCAGATGTTAATAAATCCCTCCTGAATTAAAAGGAAAACTGTGAAAAAAAATCAGTCTGTAATACTTGCCTACACATAGACAATTATTGAAAAAAATCACAAATATTATTAGAGAAACTCCTACCTTATATCACTGTGTTCATGTCCCTCCCACACAGAAATCACTAACTACCTGTGGTTATTGCCAAAAGTCCACGTTCCCTCAGCCCTTCCTTACACCCAAGCCACATCATATCTTGAAATTGCAATGTCTACCAACAGCTAGCTTTGTTATTAAGCTTAATTTCAAACACTAGAAAAATTGTCTTGTGATGGTGGAAAGTGGGAGGAAAGCCATTAGAAACAAAGGAGAAGACAGTGTGGGGTTGTGGTGGATGCTAGCAGTAAAATTTTAAGGAACTGCAATTACTGATTAGTTATCCATTACTTTTAAAAAAAAAACAAAAATATTAAGAAACTCCTACCTTATATCACTGTGTTCATGTCCCTCCCACACAGAAATCACTAACTACCTGTGGTTATTGCCAAAAGTCCACGTTCCCTCAGCCCTTCCTTACACCCAAGCCACATCATATCTTGAAATTGCAATGTCTACCAACAGCTAGCTTTGTTATTAAGCTTAATTTCAAACACTAGAAAAATTGTCTTGTGATGGTGGAAAGTGGGAGGGAAAGCCATTAGAAACAAAGGAGAAGACAGTGTGGGGTTGTGGTGGATGCTAGCAGTAAATTTTAGGAACTGCAATTACTGATTAGTTATCCATTACTTTTTTCTATTGCTGTCGTATTTTTTTTGTTGATGGGTGGGATGGCTAGGGTAGCACTGAGGTGGAGGGATGACATCTTGACAGGGTTAAGGTATGACGGGTGAATAGCAGTGATCATGTGGTAGAGGGATGGCAGGGTGATGGTGTGATAGAGGAATTACAAAGGATGACAATAAGGAAGATGATGATTAGATAGAAAAGGAGAAAGCAGTAGAGCAAGAGTTGTAACAAGAGGAAGAAAATGTGGAGGAAAAGAAAAGAAAAGAGGGGGGGGAAGGCGAGGAGGAAGCAGAGATAGATGACGAGGCAAAGAAATCTCACCTTTAAGGCACTTGGCATATTTGAGGAGGTAGGTATATGGATGTTCCACAATGAAGTCAAATTTGATTGTCTGCAGCAAAATTCTTTCAAGAGTCATTACCTGAAAAACAATTAGCATTATCAGATATTTGAAACACAACTTTCATGGTTAGAAAAATAATTAACAACTAAGATATAAGAAGAAAAACAAATGATTAGATAAAATATCATTTCAAAAGAAAGAAACCATCATTATTTGTTTCATTAATTACGGGACACCTGGAAGATAGTCAACAAGTTATTCCATTTAAAATAACTGGTGAGAAATACTAATTTCTAAATCAAGTTCCCAAATGAAATATAAATATTAGTACAACAAAACTGTATCAAAACACTTTATATAACTCTTATTTATAGAGATTAATTTCTTTAAAAACCCCAAAATCTGGATTTACAGGTTTGGATTACCATCTAAAACTTATAAAAAATAAAAAATAAATAAATAAATAATTATATAAATATATATTAAACCCCTGAAACAAACACTTTTTTAAAACACAGAGTCACACTATTTACTTCTTCCCGTGGATCAGCCCCGAATTCAGCCCAAGTCGTATCGTCAATAAGGCTCCTTGCAGTTTTCATGATATCACGGCACTTTTTTGGTGTTTCCTCCACCTTCCCAGCTAGGAAAAGGCAGCAACATGCGGTAACCTGGAAAAAAGAACTATTATTAAAATATTTTAAGACTGAGAGATTGTGGAGCAGAAGCATGCTCAGATAGTGGTATTTTGCAAAGGAACATCTGTTTTGAAACAACCAGTTTAATGTCAACAAAAATGTAACTGAATTATTAGGCCATTATGCAAGTAGCCTACAAGGGTATTACAAATCACAAATGCTGAAAATATTAATTTTGTGAGAATGATTTTTTTTTTCTTGGCTACATATTCAGAGATGTTGGGCAAAACATAATTCTTATCCTATTAAAAAACAAATCTAATGCTATATTATCTGCAAAAGCTTCAGACTGGTGAGATATTTTGCTTTTGCCCACATCTTGAGAATTTTCTAAAATTTCTGCTAGACAGAGTTTAGTGTGACAAATATATAAAAGTGTATAAAAGAGAATTAAATAATTCAAAATGCAGATGTAGCTCATGCATTTTCAAGTAAATATGATAATAACTTAACTGAGACATCATTTATATCTCTTAGAAAAGAACTTATTCTCTTTCCCTTGCACCTTTTCTACATTACTTTCTGATACTCTATATATAGAGTACTGAAGTAACATGATTTAGTTAACTGGCTTAGTATAGTACTGTTTCTCTATTGCATGTATTATAAAGCTATGACCATATACATACATAATTTCACATAAAACCTTTGGAACATCTGCTGTACTCAGGTACAAATGGAGAAAAAATGAAAATTACATCTAACACCTACAGAACATAGCCTTTACATAGAAATACCCATACATGCACAAAAATAGAAACAAACAAAATGAACATGTCCTCGCACCTAACCCCACACACAAATAAGGCCTTACGTGTCTGGGGAAGGTCTGGAAGGTGTGGACCATGTAGAAGCGGTGGAAGTAGACAACTCCCGTGGCCATGGTCTCGTAGCGAAGCCCCATCTTGTTCCCAACCTGCAGGATGAAACGCGCTCCTTCCCGACGGTACTGCGTCTCCTGATCCATGGTGAGGCCCGCCTGAATGCTGGGCGTGTGCCGCAGCTCCCGCTTCTCATAGTACCAGCCGGACCTCTGGGGAGGGAGAGGGAGATTAAGACTGTAGTGGTTGATTAACAAAAGCTACAGTTTCTGCATGCATTGATCCATTTTTTTCATTTTTTTCAAAATTTCAGAGAAGAGCAGCAGCAGTTAATGTATGACTCTCACCAGGAGGTTCACTCAGTGGTCCATCATGATGCACAAGATACACAAAACACAAATCTGGATGCCCTTGAAATCTAGGTTTGAATGCTAAGACTCCAGTATCACAATCAACACACAATTTTTCCACACAAAGTTTGAAATCTTTCACCATGGTTGTTTCAGAGCAATGTTAAACAGATCACTGGACCATGTGGCCACACCCCCTGGCAAGTACTACATGTCAGGAAAAATTACACCATGTAGGTATATTAATCCGATGCTGCTGGGGATAGCATGTACACATCTGCCATGCCCACTTTGAGTTTAGTTTATTAACTTTACACATAGATAGCTCCAAAAGTAATAAGTCACTAATTACAAGTACTACCTATCTCACCTGTTTATCCTTTTCTCTGAGTTTTGAAAATATTTTCTGATATCTTATACTGCTGTAAGTAATGTCAAAAACACTATAATAATTATATTAATATGGAGCCATCTATGTGCAGACATCTAATAAGAATTCTTAACACACAAAGGTTTTAAAATATGAAGAGTATATCATTACAGTATATATATAGATGACATGCCAATGTACTCACACTCATTTACAAA